GCTTCCATATCTTGGCTATTGTAAATAGTGCAGCGATAAACATAGGGGTGCATCTGTCTTTTTCAAACTGGAGTGCTGCATTCTTAGGGTAAATTCCTAGAAGTGGAATTCCTGGGTCAAATGGTATTTCTATTTTGAGCATTTTGAGGAACCTCCATATTGCTTTCCACAATGGTTGAACTAATTTACATTCCCACCAGCAGTGTAGGAAGGTTCCCCTTTCTCCGCAACCTCGCCAACATTTGTTGTTGTTTGTCTTTTGGATGGTGGCCATCCTTACTGGTGTGAGGTGATATCTCATTGTGGTTTTAATTTGCATTTCTCTGATGACAAGCGATGTGGAGCATCTTTTCATGTGTCTGTTGGCCATCTGAATTTCTTCTTTGGAGAACTGTCTGTTCAGCTCCTCTTCCCATTTTTTAATTGGATCATTGGCTTTTTGTTTGTTGAGGTGTGTGAGCTCTTTATATAATTTGGAAGTCAACCTATTATCGAATATGTCATTTATGAATATATTCTCCCATAGTGTAGGATGTCTTTTTGTTCTACTGATGGTGTTCTTTGCTGTACAGAAGCCTTTTACTTTGATATAGTCCCACTTGTTCATTTTTGCTTTTGTTTCCCTTGCCAGGGGAGATATGCTCATGAAGAAGTTGCTCATGTTTATGTCCAAGAGATTTTTGCCTATATTTTTTTCTAAGAGTTTTATGGTTTCATGACTTACATTCAGGTCTTTGATACATTTTTAGTTTATTTTTGTGTATGAGGTTTGACAGTGATCCATTTTCATTCTCTTACATGTGGCTGTCCAGTTCTGCCAACACCAGCTGTTGAAGAGGCTGTCATTTCTCCACTGTATATCCATGGCTCCTTTATCATATACTAATTAACCATATATGGTTGGGTTTATATTAGGGCTCTCTAGTCTGTTCCATTGGTCTATGGGTCTGTTCTTGTGCCAGCACCAAATTGTCTTGATTACTGTGGCTTTGTAGTACAGCTTGAAGTCAGGGAGCATAATTTCCCTCACTTTATTCTTCCTTCTCAGGACTGCTTTGGCTATTTGGGGTTTTTTGTTGTTTCATATGAATTTTAGAACTATTTGCTCTACTTCATTGAAGAATGCTGTTGGTATTTTGATAGGGATTGTGTTGAATCTGTAGATTGCTTTAGGCAGGATGGCCATTTTAACAATAGTAATTCTTCCTATCCATGAGTATGGGATGTGTTTCCATTTATTGGTTTCTTCTTTAATTTCTCTCATGAGTGTCTTGTAGTTTTCAGAGTATAAGTCTTTCACTTTCTTGGTTAGGTTTATTCCTAGGTATTTTATTCTTTTTGATGCAATTGTGAATGGAATTGTTTTTCTGATTTCTCTTACTACTAGTTCATCATTACTGTATAGGAATGCAACAGATTTCTGTGTATTAATTTTGTATCCCGCAACTTTGCTGAATTCAGATATTAGATCTAGTAGTTTTGGAGTGGACTCTTTAGGGTTTTTTATGTACAGTATCATGTCATCTGCAAACAGGGACAGTTTGACTTCTTCCCTGCCACTCTGGATGCCTTTTATTTCTTTGTGTTGTATGATTGCTGTGACTAAGACCTCCAGAACTATGTTGAATAAAAGTGGGGAGAGTGGGTATCCTTGTCTTGTTCCTGATCTTAAAGGAAAAGCTGTCAGCTTCTCACTGTTAAGTATAATGTTGGCTGTGGGTTTGTCATATATGGCCTTTATTATGTTGAGGTACTTGCCCTCTATGTCCATTTTGTTAAGAGTTTTTACCATGAATGGATGTTGAATTTTGTCAAATGCTTTTCAGCATCTATGGAGATGATCATGTGGTTTTTGTCCTTTTTGTTGATGTAGTGGATGATGTTGATGTATTTTTGAATGTTGTACCATCCTTGCATCCCTGGGATGAATCCCACTTGATCATGATGGATGATCTTTTTGATGTATTTTTGAATTTGGTTTGCTAATATTTTGTTGAGAATTTTTGCATCTATGTTCATCAGGGATATTGGTCTGTAAGTTTCTTTTTTTTGTGGTGTCTTTGCCTGGTTTTGGTATTAGAGTCGTGTTGGCCTAGTAGAATGTGTTTGGGAGTATTCCCTCCTCTTCTACTTTTTGGAAAACTTTATGGAGGATGGGTATTAGGTCTTCACTACATGTTTGATAAAATTCAGCAGTGAAACCATTCTGGTCCAGGAGTTTTGTTCTTAGGTAGTTTTTTATTACCAATTCAATTTCTTTGCTGGTAATTGGTCTATTCAGATTTTCTGTTTCTTCCTGGGTCAGCCTTGGAATGTATTTTTCTAGAAAGTTGCCCATTTATTCTAGGTTATCCAGTTTGTTACCATATAATTTTTCATAGTATTCTCTCATAATTCTTTGTATTTCTCTGGTGTCCATAGTGATTTTTCCTTTCTCATTTCTGATTATGTTTCTATGTGTTAGACTCTCTTTTTTTCTTGATAAGTCTGGCTAGGGGTTTATCTCTTTTGTTTATTTTCTCGAAGAACCAACTCCTGCTTTCATTGATTCTTTCTACTGTTTTATTCTTCTCAATTTTATTTATTTCTGCTTTAATATTTATTATGTCGCTCCTTCTACTGACTTGGGGCCTCATTTGTTCTTCCTTTTCTAGTTTCATTAATTGTGAGTTTAGACTGTTCATTTGGGATTGTTCTTCTTTCCTGAGGTAGGCTTGTATTGCAATACATTTCCCTCTTAGCACAGCTTTGCTGCATCCCACAGATTTCATGCAATATGTTTTTAAAGTACAAAGTGACCTCAGTTCTTTAAAAAATAGTATGATTTGGATTAGCTTTTAATTGACCAAGACTGAAGACAAATATATATTGAGATTATTTCCCCAAATGACCAGAAGGGTATGAAAAAGAGATACCTCATTTTCAGAAGACACATCAAAAAGAAATAAATGCAAGTTTTTGGAATGAATGATGAACAAAATCCAGTATGTTCTGAGGAGAGCATGCTTGCTTTTTTGTAGAAAATGAATCCTTAACATTCTTTGGTATGAGAATGAGGTCATCTCTGGAAAGTTACTTTAAAAACTTACAAAGATGATATAAGGGAAGTGCCAAAACACTCAGTTGAAATACCTTGGATAGATAAATAGATAAATTGGTTGACAGACTGATATATAAGATGGATACAGAGAGGGAGCTAAAACAAGGATAATTTTTAGTAACTGATTTGAGATTTACTTTAAGACTGAGAAATAATCATGCTAGATTAATATGCTTAGGTAAGAAACAAAACTCACTTGGTTGTAGGCCTAGAGTGTAAGAAAATACACTATTTTGCCGTAGCTCAGTGCACGTAACTGGTATTCATAAATCCTTAAATAGTGGAACTATAATCATAGCAAATAAGAAAAAATAATTACCTGGTAAATAATATTATGATAATCTAGCCTTTTTATAGAATAATAATACAAAAAGTGTCTGAGAAAAATAACAACTAATCTATACAATCATAATCAAAGTCTACCAGTTTTGACTGACTGATAATTAAAAACCATTAAACAAAATGCCACCACTCAACTTATGTTTACTCTGTATTAGCTTCAGAGAAAGGAGAGGATTTGAAGATTTCCATATGGATACTAGAAATTAATATTTTGGGAAGCAAAAGGAGAGCTATTTGGTGCTGATGCTAACCCACGAAAGCTATAATAGTAACTATTGTTAAGCAATTAGTCCTAAATGTTAGTGGTTTTATTAGATCTTAAAAATAGCAGGATTCTAAATAGAGGCTCAGATTTCATCTTTAATTCACTCTATTGTTTTACAGATTGCAGTACAGTTTGAGATTTTTATAAACCTATTATTTAAAATGCAGTCAACAAGACAAGGGCGTACTTGGAAGGTTTGGTGAACACTGAAATAATGCTCATCAAATAAATCGGAGAGGGATTTCTTGGCACCTTTTGCATTCTGGGCCGCCACGCTGGGAAGTGGAGTGAAGGTTGGGGTGGTTGGGGCATGTGGAGCAGACCCAGGCGGCAATCTGCACCAGGTGTGTGGGAGCTGGTGCGGGCAGTGAGGAAGCCTGTTGCTTGGCAGGGGAGGCTCCCGCTAGCGTTCCAGCTTCAGTCTTCTACACAACTACTACCTATATTCTTACAAAATAGCAACATTCTTCCCTTGAAAAATGGTTACCAGGTGAGCCAGTTGAGTGGGGAAAGCTGCATTAAATTTGAAAGGCAAGGTTAGTATGTAATATTAAGATAAAAAGAACAGGTATGTGATTCTGCTGGAAATTATATTTGGGAGTGTGTACAGAGATGAGGCAACATGGCCATGGTGGAGAATGTTGAGAAACCCAGAAAGGGCGCAGGCCCTGGGGACGCCCAGAGTTTAGTGTCTGTGGTCTCCTAGGTCCTAAAAGCTTGATAAAATCTATAAGATTTTATTTACTTCCATTAAGGGTGGAAAGTATTTAAAATTATTTCCAAATTTAACCTGATGATCTCCTGGGTACCAGTGTATTTACTACTAATGCATCTAAGTTATTTTTTTGGGGGGGGAGCGGTTTTTCAAAAACATCCTAACAGTTAAGGAACTTTGCTTCTGGCATTCTCCTCGGCTTAGATATGAGTTAGAGATGCCAGCAAACTATGCTGGAAAACAGGAAAAAATCAATCCACAGTTCTGTTTTACAATGATCATTTTTGAATAATCTGTTTCTCTGAACTGACTGGATTGTAGACTGATGTTTCTCAACTGCCAGTTCGCAGATATAAATATACACATGTATTTATATACATATGAATATGTATATGTGTTCAGAGGTGGGCAGACAAAATATATCAATGTAAGATTGCCATCCTCCCTTTTAAGAGAAGGAAGGACTCTCTTTCACTGTGATGTTGTACTTTTTCTATGATTTTTCTCTTTGCTATTGGCACTGTCCTGTCATTTATGACATGACGGTTATCAGTTGGTTCTTCCTCCTCCTCCTCCTTCATGTCTTTACTTGGGAAAATATTTAGCAACTTTATGCCTCTCCAAATTTTGAACAGAGATTTTTATCAGTTCTTGAACCGAAAATATTTATAAATTACAAATAAATAATTTCTTGCTCTTTCCATCCCTTTGTCAGTCTTTGCTCCCTCCGTTTCTTTCTCTGTTGCAATCTCAATACTGCCACTCTAAGAGCGAAGTTATTAAATGCTTTACTATATAACTAGGTGCTGTACTAAGCACTTTTTTCACATCATGCTACTTAACACTTACACAAGTATCTCAGGAGGTAAGTACTACTCCTGCATTTTACGAATGAGGAAATTGAATTCCAGAGAGGGCAGGAAACTTGCTCAAGGTCATATAAGTGGAAGGACTGGTATTCAAATTCAGGTCTGCTGGACTCCAAAGCTGAGGCTTTCTTCCACATTAACTTACATTTAATTTGCTTTAATGTGAACTAATCGGGCTTCTTCATATATTCCTTTAGGTAAACTTAAATACTCCTGTTTACACTCTCATGATTTAAGCATTTTTCTTATCTTACATCTCACTTTTGGTCTGCCTCTCCCATCTAACATAAAGCAGAATACGCAGGACGTAAGGATATGCCAACTGGGGATTTTTCATGTTATAAACTTTTAACTTTTGCAGTAGTAAGATTTCTTTTGATTATAAAAATATTCTCAGCGGATCAAAAAGGATATTTCCCCATGTTCCTTCTTTGAGGAAGGTTGGAATGATGGCAATCAAGACATAGTCACCACTTTTTAAATAAGCACATATATGTCTTCACTTAGACAAAGCTTTTTGTTTTCTGAATGGGATGTGACTTATATAACATATGCATATTTTAGAAATAATTGTAGAATCTAAGAAAACTTCTTGAGAATTATCACCAAGGTTTTGCCATATTAAACATACGAGGGATTGGGCCAGGCTGGTGCTGTCGGGGTCAGAGCTTCTGCTCGAAAGCCAGGTCCAGGCTGGGTCCTGGCTTAGTCACCTGCTGATCTGTGTGACTCATCTGCGGAGTCTCAGTTTTCTTCACTGGAATAATGGGGCCAGTGACAGTTCCGAACCCCAGGCTTACTGGGAATGAAAACTGATGAGTCAATATGGTTAGTGCCTCATAAAATTCTTGGTTTTATCATCACTTTGTTATTGTGCTACTATTACTACCACTGTGTGGTAATTCATAAAATGGGACACATAAAGACACACAAATTCCAGTTCCCTGCCACATATCACTGTATACATGCCGAAATACTAAGAAAAGCTGATTTTAAAAATTGATACATTGCCCACAAAATTTGATGGCTTAATCTCTCCCTCTATAAAATGAAAATTAGTATTTATTTATTTTAGAATTACTCATAAAATGAAGGAATGCTTGGGATCCTCTAAATGATACTACAGAATATTATCATCACAATTTATGCAGAAAAGTATTCTAAGCATCATATGTCCATGTAGAGACAAGCAATTATTGGTCCTCTACTAAAGTTACTATAGTAATGACATTCAACAAGATATGAATTTGGGACTCATAATTCTTTTTCCCAAAAGGATTCAATGACTAAGCTGCTAATTTAACCCAGAATATTTGTCATTTTGAATGGTATTACTAAAGCAGTCTTAGGTGTAGCAAAATGGAATATTACAAAAAAGCACAGAGGGTATCAAACTGCTTCCATCACAGATGTAGGTGTGCATTTCCCACCCTTGTGAAATATGCTTTAGCCTGGGCTTGTTCTAATGCACAGGCTGGTTTTGCAACATTTGAGTGTGTGTGTGTGTGTGTGTGTGTGTGTGTGTGTGTGTGTGTGTGTGTATGTGTTTGTGTTGGTTCAAAAGTTTCACTATGCTTCATTTAAAATACTTTCTCAGACTAAAATATTAAAATATCAAAAATATGATACTGACCCATAAAAAACTGAAAAGCATTAAGTTTACATCTTAAATGCTTTCAAGTACAGGTTTCTTTCTTTCTTTCAGTTTTCCTTCTTAGCTTTTAATGTTCTTACCTGTGAAGATTTGGCAAGCTTCTGTGTATATTCCTTCTCAATCTGCTTCAGCCTGCTGTTGACCTGAAAAACACACACACATGAACACACACAGGGTGACCTGTGAGCTTGCTCTCTCTTCCACACGCCTATCACCAGGCAGCTGGGACGGCTGCCAGCTGCACCGCCCTTCTGGGGCAGCCAGAACACCACAGGGCTTGTCTTTGATCTAACGCCAACTATTCATCACTTAAAAAGCAAAAAGCAAAAGCAAAAAAAAAAAAAAAAGATCTCTCCTGCCAATTATTAGACAAACACACACTTCTGGGGAGAGAAAGAGAAAAGGAGGAGACACAGAAATAGACCAAGCAAAAGGGTGAAGGCTCAGAAGGGAAAGGGAGAAGAAACAAAGGAGAAGGCAAAGAAAGCCAGGGGAGAGGGACTTGAAGGAGGCAAAGATAGAGGTAAATTTAATTCTCTTCCCACACTTTAAAGATAAAAGAACTAGATGTTCCTAGACTGAGGCAGATGGGAGAATTTTAGACTCGGCGAGTTGAGCCCCCACTCTGCCTAACACACAGGAACTATTCTTTGAAGTGACAAATATATCTAAATCAAACAATTTTTCTCCCCTGGGAGTAGGGTGGCCTTCCCAGAATAAGTCCGCATTACTTAGAACCTGGCGGTCTCCTTTGCCACTCAAGTTACGGTCCTTTGTGTGTGACCTGCTTTGCTCTCTGGAAGCTTTGGGATCTTCACTTTATCCTTCACGTAAGGAAATAAGGAAATGGCACCGCGACCTGCCAGAGACCAGGCCTTTTTCCACCCGTGCAGGCACTAAGCAGGCCCTTTCAGTCGGAGCTTGTGTCCTTCATTTCTAGAAAAGGTTTTTGTTCATTACTGTCATATTTGCAGCTCTGATTTTTGGACCTCTCAGGTTTATCATGTGTTTTTCTTATTGTTTCTATTTTCCATTTCTTTGTCTTCATCTTTTGCAGAGATTTCCCAACTTCTCATTTTAAACTTTTTATTGGACTTTAAAAAAAACTGCCATACTATATCTAAGACATATTTTTGTAATTTTCAATTTCTAAGAGGTATTTCTGTTCTCTGAACAGCATAATCCCTCCCCCTTTTAAGACCAGGAAACTGAGCTACAGGGAGGTTAAGTAACTTGCCCAGCCTCACACAGCTAGGAAGTGACGGTGCCAGCACTCAGCCCCACGCAGAAGGAAGCCTGGGTGCTTCAGCAGCCAGAGCATATCATACAATGTCTCTCAGTATAGTCCAAAATTTTCCTGAGGTTATTAATTTCATATTACCTATAATTATCTACATGTCTATATCTATACACATAAACACACACACGTGTGTATTTAGATTTCTTTTCTGCTTTCTAGAATATCTGTTTTTTTTCTGATTTCCTTTTATTTATTTCCTTTGCCAGCCTATTTTGGTCTCTGTTTTTCCCTTTAGAACTTCCTTCAGCTGTCTAGTGGTGGGCAGGCTCTGGGGACGGGTGGACATCATCACAAAGTGTCACAAAGAGGCCTGGACTCTCCCATGCCACGGTCTGACTGGACATTCTTTTTGGACCATTTTTCCCAGAGCTGCATCCTCTAGTTTACTTACTGGTAGCATAGATCTGGCTGCCAGTGTTTTCAGAAGAGTGCCTGACTGTCTGGGATACTGTTTCTTGGATAATCCCATTTTTATTTTGCCTTCTGCTGTACCTGGGTCCCTCTCTCATTTCATCTCTCCAGAGATCAAACCAGGGGTGGAGCTAGGAACAGACATGGAATAAATTCCTAAATTGAATCCCTAATCTCATTGTGATGGTATTTGGAGGTAAGGCTTTTGAGAGGTGATGAGGTCATGGGTGGAGCCCTTACGAGTGGAATTAGTGCCTTTATTAGAAGAGGCCAGAAAGTTAGCTTCTTTCTGCCATGTGAGGATACAGGGAGAAGATAGCAGTCTACAGCCTGGAAGAGGGCTCTCACCAGAACTCAATCCTGCTGGCATCCTGATCTCGGACTTCCAGACTCTGTCAGAAATAAATTTCTGTTCTTGATAAGCCTCCTAGTTTTGTTATAGAACCTATGATGATAGTCCTGTGTTTTATGGACTTAAGTTCAAAAGCAATTTTTTAGTTTGTTCTATAAATTTATCAGCATCTGCCAGAGAATTTAGTGGAGACTGGTCCTTGAGTAAAGGAGACGGGGTGGGATCTACAGCACAAGGGGAGGGGATGGCCGGTGAATCATGACTGGTAACAGGGATGGGAACTTCTGATTACTTCCATCTTCTCCATGAAATAGGAGAAAAGATTCATCAGATAAGCATGAGGATGGCAACAGAGATTGTTGGGAGACTTGAGGTGTAAGGTCATCTAGGAAAGTGGGAAAGGGAAAGGGATGAGGAATATAGTATGAGTACCAGGACTCAAGGAAGCATCAGGGCCCAGTGGAATTACCAATGTTAAATTTAAACTGAGACCAGTTTGGTAATAGATGAATACCTCTAGATCTTGCTAGTAGCTAAATGGAGCAAAATCAACAATTTGGAGAATAATGAGAAATGAAGAAATCAATTAATTTACCAACCTTCAAGGTTTTTACTATGTATCTGAACTTAAGTCACAGATGTCTGAATTTCTGAACTTCTCCAATCTAAAAAGCTCCCGTTTCACATGGTTGGAAATTCATAGCTAATTTATCATGCAGACTGTCCCTAAAATATTTCTTGAATAATTTTATTCTCAGGATGGTACTGACTGTACTTTTCATTTCCATACATAAAATTAAGTTAGGGTTAGTTATTTTAATCCAAGTCTTATTTTTATAGCTATCTTACTATATAAAAATATAATTTTCAAGCAATCATCTGCAGCATGGGCTGAACAGATGGAGAATAACAGATGAGAGGAAAATCATAATTTTAAAGTGAGCAAAATTTTTCTGTTCTTGCTGTTGTTTTAATCTCTGGCTATTTTATGCTTGGCATGCCCTCCACTCTCCACCAAGCACTCAGTTCCCCTCTGCTTTCTAGGGCCTCTTTGTCAAGTTATTCTTCCTTGTTAAAGATCCCAATGTGTTGTCCACTTTCTCTATGCAATTCGTCTCAAAATTCTGTTTTAAAAACTCTAGGAAAGGAACAAGCCAACCAGTTTTAGCAAAGGTCTCAATGGTTGTTAATCATCTTAATGGTTACCCTTTTCTTGCAGGTACTGTGAATTAGGTCAATTTGAAAAGTCCCTCATTCCTTTATTTTTCATTTTCTAGCTAATGGTGAAAGTTCAGACACTCAGGATTTCCAGGGAGGTGATTTGGAGGGAGGAAAATTAGGAAACTCCTCTGGAATACTTGTGTTTAAGGCAAGCCCAGATCTCATAAATAAATTTTCTTTAAAATATAATAGCATAAGTTTCTGAGTTAAATATTTGTTTTTAGGATTAGAAAAAGGATGCATCCCAGATTCTTGAAAAACAGCATGAGGCTCAGATTATGATGTAGTATTTTCTACTCAAAAGCTTTGTAGGAAACCATCTGAAGCTTCATCAAACTCTGTAAATTCACTTATGACCAACTGGAGCCAGATATTAATATATAAATGGGTACCATCCTATCAACAAAAATATTTGGATAATTTATAACAAATATTTACAGAACTTTCAAATTTGAAAATCTCTGTATTTTACCTGAAAATCAAGGTACAAATATGTGAAGCATAAATGAAATCTATTAGTTCTGCTTGGGCTATGATGGGGTGAAATATGAGACCATGTTCAATCTGCTACAGTAAATTGGTAGTAAACCAGACAAAATACAGGAAAAACTGTCCTTTAAAACAGACTTTAAAATAGCTACTAAAAACATACCTAAATATTTAAATAAAAACGTATACATAATGAGGAGAGAAATGGAAAAATAAAGATAAAACTAAATAGCCTATAGTAATATATAATCTGAATGGAAAATTTCACTGGATGGGATTAACAACAGATTCAGCACTACAGAAGAAAACATCGGTGAAAAGAAAAATCATTAAAAAATCCAAATGATTGCCAGAGACACAAAAGTCTGAATTTAATGAATTATCTCAGTAATCTTAAGGTTGTATCACATCATCTAACATATATGTAGCTATAAATCAGAAGGTAAAAGGTTTGGGAAAATATTTGAAGATATAATGGATGAAAATTTTCTAATATGAAGAAAAATATAAATCTCTAAGTTGAAGAAAATCAATGAACAAGAATGATAAACACAAAGAAAACTACATCAAGGTACATCATAATCAAACTGTAAGAACAGAAATAAAGATAAAATCTTAAAAGCAGCTGGAGAAAACAGACATATTAAAAAGTTAAGAATGATGGAGGATTTCTCATCTGAAACTATGCTAGTCAGAAAATAACATAATGCATCATTAAAGTACTGAAAGAAAAAAAAATCTGTCAATCTATAATCATATATTTAGTGAAAATATCCACTGAAACTGAAGATGAAGTTACAGATATCTTCAAAAAAAATCTGAGAGAATTTGTCACAGCAGACATGCACTATATTAAAGGTTAAAGGAAGTTCAGGGATATGGAAAGTGATGCCAAATGGAAACCTAGATCAACTCAAAGGAATAAAGAGCACTGGACATAGACAATATGTGTGTAAATATAAATTATATTTTTTGTCTTTTCAAAATTTCCTTAAAAGACAATTTACTGTTAAAGCAAAAATAGTAAAAGTATGTTGTAGGGTTTATAATACATGTAGAAACAGTATAGGAGTAGGGAAATGGAGGTATACTATTCTTAAGGTACTTACATTTTATGTAAACTGATATAATAGTATTTGAAGGCAGATTATAATAAAGATGCATATCATGACAAAAGCAGTGAAGAGGTATGTCTAATAAGCTGATAGTAGAAATAAAATGGAATATTTAGAAGTACTTGATGAATCCAATAAAAGGCATGAAAAGAGGGAAAAAGGAACAAAGAGAAGATGGGGCAAATAGAAAACAAAATAGTAAATTAAAACACAACATATCAATAATTACATTAAATAAAAGTTGTTTAAAAATTC